TTTCTTGGCGTCTAGCTACAGTATGTAGGCCTATTACCTTGCCTGAAAAGTCATCTAAACCAGGTTTAGGCAAGTCAAAGTTATGAGAAAATTTTATTTACGACGCGAACGTACGGTTCTAACGGCGTGATGACGTAACCACCAGAAACGTCATAAATCATTAAAATGCAGAGCCTTTCCACGCCTTTCCCAAAGAGAATATCGAATGAACTAGATTCCAGTTTTCGACTGGAATGAAATAAACGCCCTCTTTTGAAAAGGCCACAGTAGATACAGAGACTCAAGTGTAGTGTGCATTCCCTCGCACACACGTTTCTATTGTTATTCTCCCATGTGTGACGGCGTTTAAAAAACCCTCGCAGTTCACATCAAAATATCGACTGCGGTTCACAGAGGTAAAACCGGGTCTCGTTATTCGAGGCACAAAAGGTGAGTACTGAGGAATGCTTTTAGATTGATCACTGCAAACTGATCTTGCGCGCCGAAAAGGCCGCGGAGTGTCATTCAGAAATCGGGAGCCTTACTACATTTTGTATCATTCAATTACATCAATTCAACGTAAATATATAGTGATGTCTACGATCGCCAATTTTTAATTAGTCATCGCCGCACACTGTATTGAAGAAATATAGCGGTAGATATTTATAATATTGATCAAAACAATTACGGATTTCGATTATTAAGGCACCAACCACATTGATTTTTTAACGCCGGTTCTATAGCGCCGTAGAATCGAAATACACTGAAATAGCGTATAGTTTAGTTTAGATAAACAGCATAAAATTAACCATAAATATTAGGAAAATATGACAAAAATACCACTCCATAATCTGCACTAATCGTGTTTAAATAGTTTTATAATACTTTCAGTAAATTGTGGAATTCGGGAAAAATTTGTATCACTAGGTCATTCATTCGTAACAAAGCATTGTCCCCACAACATACGAAGTCGCTACTTTATGAATACATTACTATGCAAATTTTAACTGAATAACAATTTAGCTACCAATCGACGACTTCATCAGCTAATCTGTGAGCTCAATGGTGAAGATTTCAAACCGCATACTCTGATATTATTACAACTTGCTAATATTCGCATTGTGGTTAGCTATAGCTTCTGGGCTCGGTTGGCTTGATACCTCGTCTAATTTATATTAATAATTACTCAAATGATAAAGAAATATTGCGTAGTTTTAAGGACGCCTTGTGATGAATCGTATTTACTTGAAAAGTACAATCCTAATTATTTACTCGGCATTTTGAAACAACAGAGTTGGACTGCCAACCTTTTTAGAAGTAATGAACAATTCAACTGCAGGGGACAGCCTTTCTCTTACTCAAACCCAAAGCGCATTACCGGGTGGAGATCAATATGGTTGACCAATGACATATTTCACCCACGATCATGAACACTTGTAAGGCATGAAGTATGCCAACCAAGAATGCATATTTAAAAAAAAAATTATGATGAAAAATTGAACACATTTATTAACCGGTTGGGCTTCATTATTGGAAACATATCACATAACGAGGCGGTTCCCAAACTTTTTGTTCATGCGGCGCCAAATTATCAGGGAAAAATCTCACAACGCACTTACACGAGAAACAAAATGCTGAAAAAATTACTCGTGTTTGCTAAACTAGGCTCATAAGATAAATAAACTGCAGCTCACGAAATTGCAGCAAGTAGTGTCTATCTCTATTGTTTTGTACCAACAGAGACATACGACACTAAATACATAAAGTAAACGACATAGAAAGGTAAAATTATTTTTTTCATACACAACATTTAACATAAGAAACAATAAAACATTTATAATAAATACGATATATAAAATATTCAATCATATTTTAGTTATGTTCAACACAATTCTGTTAATTTTAGAGGCGCACCCTGTGGTAACCGCTATCATAGCGTATTGTTGGCGACATCTAGTGCTTAAAATGTGTACAAAGTAGAGATGTACCGATACCACTTTTGTCGCCGATACCGATACAAACTAAAAACGCCGATACCGATATGCCGATATTACAAAACGACCAATATTCCGATATCGATACTATGTAAATATTACTTCAAGTGTGCAGGGCAGACGGGTTAAAGCACTAGTATTTGAGCGTTATTCATAGTGCACATCATTTCAGATGAAAAAGGGATATGACACATCGTAAGAAATTGATGTTTGGGATTCAGATGCATTAATTAATTACAATGCGAATATCGTTTTTAGTGTTTATAAGAATATCAGAAATATCGCCCACACATCGTATCGTCGCCGTCCACGTTTTAATTGAAAACCTTTCACATATATTTCGTTTTATGTTTTATCGTAATCGTGCGTCGCGACAATAAGTTACAGCGCATATGAAAGGATTTCAATCAGCGCTGGCTAGAAATACCAATAACACGTCGAGGATGTTTCTGATTTTATTATTTCATAATATATTATAAATATTATCGTTATTTCGAGATAGTCTGGACGGCCACGGCAATAAATCTATGAGGAAATTGTGTAGTTAAACAAAATTAAACACAACATTCAATATCTGTGTAGAGAGATAATTGTGTCGGAATTTAACTTAACGATATTGATGGACTAAATGACACTCGCACTTGGCGATAAACAGTCAGAATGTATAACTGTGCCAAAAAGTGCGTGTTCTGTTAATAATAACGACTTCGATTCTACCCCATGATTTAAAAATGGGAGCCTAGTACTTTTAGTCAGTTAGTCAGTTAAGTCAAGTTAGTTAGTTTAGTCAGTAAACACCACCATTTATGGGTTAAAATACCGTAATGCTAATGCTTATGAAGTCTCTTTTCGTAGATGCAAGAAAATCACAATTTCAATTGTATCACACATGCATTATGAGTCGGAATTATGACTGCTTTACAATGATAACATGATCAAAGCCTAATTTCTATGTTCCTGGATTTTATAAAAGTGAATAGTATTCATGCGGGGGATTTTACAATGTATTCGGAATTTCAGTATCGAAAATATTTTTTAGAATGTATTCGAAATAGTCGATGGGTATGGCCATCCCTGCTCATAAGGTTTGGCTACCAGGGTGGTAAAATAAATGAATGTTTAGCCTACCTACCCTATCAAATTGATACATTGATACATTGGATTGAAAACCACTACTATTGTCATGCTTTTATAACCTTTTTATATTCTTGTGAAAAACGAAAATAGAGCCAGGGATGGATACCTGCATCCAGTTATGAATAAGGATTATTATTAATCCAAGTTATCATTTCTATTACTACGTATCGTCACTATTACTGTGGTATTGCGATTCGCAATTACAAATGCTTTAAAATTAGTAATTGGCAACTTTTTCACATCAGAATATTTGTAATATGTGCGTAAAAACCAAAACGTAGGCTTCAAATACTGGATACAAGCTACGCGACCAATGCACATTCCAATTTAATGGTTGTGTTTTCTATATTTACAATGCTTCTGCTTCACATTGTAATTTACTCATATTTTGCTACTGTTCAGTGCACACTTTGTGAACACCCGTGGATGCATAAACAATCATTTTAGACGAAATATTACGCTAGCAAATTGGACAACAGACACTCTTACTAGCTAACGGACTCAATAATTATATATATATACTATATTATAGGGCACGTCATAGGAATATATTTCTCGCTATCATCGGAAATTTTGTTTGGACATTTCGAGTAGCGCAATATGGCAGAAACTTTTATTGATCAAAATAATATCATCCCATAGGAATAGGAAGGTTAAATCCGTTGACACGCAAATAATTTTGACCACAGGTTGTCGTTGGATTTCGTCTGTCAGTAAGATCGACGACATCGCCGCCAACATCTCATGAATATTTATTGAATTTTATCGGCTCAAGAATTACATCGATTTTCTTTTTGTAAACGTTGGCGTTACCCTGAAGTGTCGACCCAATAGCTGGGGTTGTTTCGTGATAACACGTCGAATGTAACTTGGGCATCAACCTTGTGTATTACCCCATATCTAGGCAATGTTTTATAGTAATGCAACTAGATAGTGGGAATTTTCAGCTTTCATTATTATCATTTTAGAACGCAAGGTATAAATTATCATTTAATTTTAAAGCATTGCATCAAAAACATTAAAATTACCAATTTCATGTAAATATTTGGAAAAGAATAACTTCACAATTTACTTTACTTTACATTTTTTTCGAAATCAACACTCCCCAAAATCTGTGATGATTAAAGGTGTCGTGTCATACACGGTAGACATTTGTTCACGTTGCAGGGATTGCCGATCAGAATTTATTGCCACAGACATAGTTGGTAAGATAGGCATTAAAAGGAGAAGTTACTTAGAAGAGAGAGTTGGTAAAAAGATAATTGCTTTAATAATGAAAATCTGTAGAATTTGGGTATTACAACGAAAAGGCGCAATTTGATATCGTATCGTTCAGGGCTAATATTGCAAATATTTTCGTGATATTGAGCATATTTAAAATCTGTTTGAAAATGTTTGAAAAATAAGATTGTCATATAGTCTATAGCTCAGTGGTTCTCAAACTTATGATCTACGGCCTTCTTCTTAGGTCTCTCAACAATTGTGGGAACTTCTGTACAAAGCCCCCGCCCCAAAAACACTACGCCACCGCTCAAAATTGCAAAATCGTAATTTTTAATTTTGGGCGAAGGTTAGGAATGCAGATTGCGCTGGAAATTCACATTCATTTGCATTAGTGGCGGGGGTTGTTTACACAAAATCCCAATTGTGGACCCTCTTATATAATAATACATAGTTTTGCTTTTATCGTGTTTCTATCATCTTCTCGCTCGGCACGTTTATCAATTGGAAGACAACAATAGAAAGTGATAGATTAAATAAAAATGCAGTCAAAGAATGGAACAAATCACAGTCAATTGGCTGGTACCTATTGAAATCTTTTGCTCGTGGCATCGAAAAGCTCTGAGTGGCGAGTAAAGAAATAAAAAAATATAAAAAAATCGGATGCACCTTCGATTTCTCTTTTCCGTGTCTTCGTCTTCTGTGCCCATTGCTTCTATGTGATGTTTCTCGCTTCGCATTATCCGTTATTGCGGGTTTTACAACTTCGCTTTTTTGAACTGTGGAGGTCTTCGAGGCCTTGACCCTCGACATAACAAAAGCTGCGCTCTTAGGCATTTTGTTGGTTTGTCGGTCGCACACTAACCCAGATATAAAAATTTAGTGTCTCATAGTGTCAATAGCGACTTCTGTTTACATTACAGAATAAGAACCACGTGTCCAGAGAAGTGGTTTTAATGATCTAAAATACAAAAAACACCCGTAGATAGGTCAAACATAAAATGTCACAAACGGATAATTAACAAAATAGGACACAAAAAGAGTGCTGTTAGGGCCCCAAACGCGCTATAAGATACTCGCGCTTTACATATACATATGTGCGTCCCTTGCTTTTAGATAGCGTTTTGGCGTCCTGTGTTGAACATGACCCCTAGCAGCAACCCATAAAAGAATCCTCACTCAATGTTTTCTGAACAATTTCGTGTAAAGTGGTCCATGCATAGGATAAAGGGAAATTGAAACCTCAAAAGTGGTGAAATCGATAATTATGGTAGAAATCACCGCAGAGCAGAAGGTGACACACTTCTTGAGCGATGAGCAATGGTGAGATCTCTGATACTTACTGATAAGTTGTGGATGACGGTATATAACAATGAAAAATAGCTGCTAGTGAAAAGCATACACGAGGCTAATAAATTTCCATTATCAGCAGACAGAAATTATTCCCCAATTCGAACGCGTCTTCTTTGATCTAACTTGAAGTTACTATAGGAAGAACCAATTAACTGCTACGCTGCGGAACGAATTGGGTAAATAAATCACAATCTCGAAGGTCGGGCATTCCTAAATGTTGTTTTAAAATTCAAAACCAACACTGTACTTGCTAGACAATTACGAGACTCTAAAAATATAGGTACTTCTTATATCCCCAAACTAGCTCAAAGGGGACGAAACTAAACACCCCGCATCAAGACCCCACTCGGCTTTGATATTGGACTGGGTTTCAATGACAATTTGTTATCTGAATTGGTCCACTAATCTGGGGAAAAGTCCACCTACCGCCATGCTGATATGCTGATAATAGACCCCCTGCACGTCCGGCGGTTTGCTCATGCTCGCAATTGTAATGACAAAGCACTTACCGGTCGAAAGCAATCAGGTTAGAGAAAAAGTCTAAATTAGATCTTTCGGGGATTGACATTACTTTCGTTAGTTAAATGTAGGTTTTCGGTCGCACAATGATGAATATTTTTTGTTGTAAAATTACGTTCTTTCAAATCGTCCAGAGCGGGCTGCATGAATATTACTAATCATAAAAACAGTTGTTTATTGATAATCGTAAGGACTATGAGTGATGCGAAGCAAGTGGCAGTTTATTGAAACGATAGACCGCTAGTTAGAATGTTAAGTAATGAAACTTGCTCACTGCTCCTAACATAATATGCTATGCTGTCCTAACTGCGTTGCGCAAGAGCGCACCTCATGCCTTGAACTATAGATTTTCACACACTAACTTACTGCGAATATCACAAAGATTGGCTTACGAATGAATGCAAAAAAAAATTACTATCGATACCAATTAGGTAATTGATGAAAGCTCATTATGGGGAAAAACACGACGAGGGTTTCCGAGCGATATTGAACATCGAACTACAATGAGCATAGGGAAGCGATGTTTTGGAATAATAATTCTCGTGGGAAATCAGTGATGCCTTCGTTGTCGGAATATACATTTTTTCCTATTCGTTATCAGTGGAAATAAACTGGTTGGTGTGAAGGCAAGTTTACCAATAATACAAGCAGGGTATATTATGTGACCAAGCTCTTTCTGATATTAAATAGGAGGTTCCATAAACACACATATCAGTTAAATTGAAATGTTTTTAGACAGGAAATGCTCATATTATATGATATGTAAATCGTCTTGCTTAATCGTTGTTTTAAAAAAGGTTGTGGTAGGTTGTGGACGTATCGATTTCAAATTTTCAGTACATAAAGAGGGTCGATTTTGTATTTTGGATCTTTTGTACAAAACCCCGCCAAAAAAAAAACCTCGCCAACGCTCAAAATCAGTTATTATTCAATTATGGTTATTACTACAGATTGTGCTGGAAATTCAAACTTTGAAATCATTGCTGACCCCAATTGGAGAATTACTAATTTGCCAATGGGACACTTTTTATAGTGTCAAGCTTGACCGCCTCCGTCACGTTCAGCGTTCTACGCTACATTTCAACTGTTTCGGTACCGATATAAATGTGACAATTCGAAGTTTAAAAAATTCACACTAACCAATGCCTTTAAATTATATTGAGAAACTCGAATACAAGAATATCAGCGACATGTAAGCATTTTCGCCTCATACTGACGTCAAATCAAGCAACTTCTAATTCCCGTCTAACCTCGGATGGAAATTTCGATATTTCTTGACCAAAATGTGTCATATTTTTCCTTATTTATATGTCTGTATCAAGCACAAAATTAGTAAGTAGGCCTACCAACTAAATGTCGCCGCTTTCAGTAAATTTGACTTTCCATGGACCAGGTGAGTAAAATTTCACTACATCAACGCTTACTTCCCGATACATGATTGCCCCGATATTTAGGCATATGAAATAAACAAACCATATTTGTCTATAGAATGAGGGAGTCCCGGAGAACGTCGTCGAAAAAAGGATATACCGGTATATATATTTAGCTAGGCCGATTTGGTGTGGTTATTTAATCTTCGTGACCAAATATTTTAGAATTTTTCTTTTGTTTCTTATCGTCGTGTTGTTTTAATTTTTGGACTGATTTTATTTTGTAATATATATAATCGTTGTTATTTTGATTACAATGCAACGTTCACAGTGAATAATTTAGCGAGCGTAAAATAGCTTGAAACATTGTTTGAACAGCGTTGCAATACCTCCCCCCACAGCAATAATTGGCTGCACGCTAGCTACTGATCTAAAAGAGACATCAGTTTTTTGACACGAGATCTGCAGCATGCAACGTTACCATATTTTGTTCCAATGCTCTACTAGACACTATCGTTAGGCCATGGAGTCTTCGTAAATGGATTTCTTTGCCGTACCCAAACGAGGGTAAGGCTCGCATTTGTGGGTGCATCGATCGCATGGACGTTCGCGCATAATAAAGTCGGGGATAGGCCTACAGTAGAAAAATAATGACATATAACCTTTGACGATTACGCAAAGCAAATGTGGTAACCAACATATTTCATAAAGTTTTGTGCCACTACCAACAGGTACGTTTTAAATTTATATATATATAGAATTTGTTTGCTTTCCATTATTTGTTTATCGCTTTTTCTTTTTTTATCAAATCAAATTTATTGACGATTATTGAGTCGAACTAAGCATTTTACATACGGCCGCAGAAACATTCAAGGTTAGTTGATCGAGTGGCGTGACTATCATCTTGCTATGATCTTATAAAAAGCACTTAATGGGAGAACGGCCGACTTAATGATCTTTTCCCATGGGTAACGCATCAAGTACAGCGCTCGAGCATTGCATATTTTCGAGTTTAGATTGAATCAGTTTTATCCGGTGCAACTCCAGCAAGTACCAGGGTGACACATAAAACAAAAGCTCTAGAATATGTTCCGAATCACCTCGCACTCCATTTTACAAAATCATGCACGAAAAAGAGGATTTGCATGCATATGAATTACCGATAAACGTTTGAATACAATGGAGAATTTATCAATGGTTTCGAAAGAGTTTGGAACGGAAATCAATCCGATAGAATTGTATTTATCCATCGTCTTTCAATCGCATTAAAGTTACTGCCATTCAGCTCAATTATTATTTCAGATTTCTAGCATTAATTTAAGTCTTTTCAATTTGTTCTCCAAACGGCATTCTATGCAGGAAAATGATGAATTCCATAATAGCATGTAGTATTCGTATATATAGCCTATACCCCAAAATACTCTACCAGTTGGTTCGTGTAACTACGGAAGTGAACATCTGCTACAAGATAAATGACAAGATATGAGCGTATTGTAATGTTATTAAAGTTGTAACGGCATATAGGCATCCCTGTCCTAGGCAATTGAATAGAGGCAGACTTACATCCGTTGCGCGAAACTGTCAATCACTGACACGCACTCATCTATGGGGATTTATCTGATTTATGCTGCAATTGCAGTTCTAGATTCACCAATTGTTTGATGAATGTTCTAATACACGTTGTCAGTCGAATATCCTTACAGGGGGATTCAAGTCCAATGACTCACTAGAATGTCACACTTCCCACTGATCAGCTTGTTCTGAAATTGCTCTCTCAGCCTCAATAGCACAATTTGATATGTCGGAGTCTTCAACCACTAATCAATTTCCATTAAATCCATCTACTCCGTTCAAATGTTGTCCCGCATTTTCACAGCTTCGCCCCATAATGTTCCATATTCACCGTTTGATTTTCGTCTTCAAACCAATACTAGTTATGTAATATTTAGAAATGGCTACCCATGCTTCGCACTGTATACTGAGTGTACGATTCTCTGTAAGACTTTAATTGGAAGTGTGTCCAGGTAATCAATAATTTTGCCATTTAAAATTAGAGCAGGCGATAGAAAGTGAAACTCCGCAGAAAACGAAGTGGGTGATTGACAATTTTGCGCAACGGATATAGGTCTGTCTCCAAGGACGAGGAGGTCCTTTGGAACATATTCTAAGGAGAACATAACTTTTGATCATAGCGTCCTAGAGTAGACTACTGAAACGTTTGAGACAGTAGTTCAATCTTGAACAAAATCTATTAAATTTTTATCATTTGTTTAGAAGTGATTAGGTAATTCATGGGGTTCTGTTTTTTTTCGGATAACCCTGTAGCACAGTACGGTATTTAAATTTCAGCACCGCCTGCGGTCATCTAGGTTTGGGATTTGGTGACTAAATTTGAAGATTTGTCAGAAATTTTATCCAACATTCCCGGAATATTTTGATATCAGTAAACATTTGAAAAAGTACACACATCATCTGGAAGGAGAACACACGTTGAAATATCGCTAAACAAACAGGAGAACACCAAAGCTGATATTATTGAGACAGCGTCTGATATAAACTGCAAAGTATCCAAGAGTAGAAAAATAACGTTCAGCGGCACCTGCTGCTTGATAGTTCGAGCGCTTCGTGCAATTTTTCCAAGTTCTTCAGTCTTTTATTCCAAATGCGTATATTAGAGCCACATTCTGCATTTCGGGCAAACTAATGGTAAGCCCACGCACGCAGGAAGCTAGGCGCCTACGATTCGTCTGCAAACGTCGAGTTCAATCTTAAAACACCTGATAAAGGGTTATAGTCATGGTATGAAATGGGATTTTTTTTCGAGGGGTGCAGGCTCGAGGGTCCGTGATTCGAACACGAAACGTCGTCATCTAGTCTTGTCATTGGCTCCGCCATGGAGATACAGGCGTGAAATCATTTGGATACATTCATGATGTGTGAACGATGTAGCTTGGCCCCAGTGATCCAGGTCCCTGATGATCTCGCCAGTAGTCAGCAATAGTGAACGTTACATTTTTATGCTCTATTCGCTCCACTCGAGATCTGTTGGTACACCCCATCCATCCTACATCCCTTAGTAAGAACTAATATTGTGCGACAGGATTGCTGAACAGTGAGGTTGAAAAAATCATAAAATATGCGAGTATATATGAGCCTTCTTTCTGTCGTGTTCCACGGCACGGTTAGAGTGTCATATTGGTTCTCCTTTTCCTGGGATCGAGTATAAAAAAACAGCGAAAAATACAATCTTCAACCACTAAAAATTTGAAAGCAATTGGTTCGGTAAATTAAGGGAAAGGCTATTTTTTCATAACAACAAGAAGGAAAGTACTACTAACAAGATGGACGACAACAACATGATATCAAAACGATCCACATGTACACAGTACACTTCGATTCCAATAATACTACATATTCAAACGCCCATCATAAGGCCGGACACGAGGTCTTTCTCTCTCGCACAAGTCTGTCCAATGACATTGCTCTGTCAATAGTTCATATTATGAACTCTCAAGTCGTACCCAAAACACTATATATCAAATTTGTGGGCGTGGAATACACTTACTTGTTTAATTTATTCCAAAAATCATAATTCATTGAAACACGCGTTAAAATATTTATTTTGATGCTTATACCCTGTAGTGGTAGTCAAATATTTAGAACAGCATTTGCATCGAACTTACTAACAACGGGTTCTCTCATTTCAGAAAATATATTTGCCTATATTTAAAGATTAAGACGATGAGAGGGCCCTAGGCTGCGCCATTTGTGAGGCTCCTTTGACAATGTATAATACGGGACATATACACATATACGCTAATCACCAAGTAGATAGGATAGTACATTAGGAACTAGAGAGACTGGAATAAGGTGACAATGAACCACCGTGGCACCACAGTTTTTCAAAATTCATTTCTTCAACTTTAATTGCTTTTTTAACCTTCAAAAAGGTATCTATTTGGGACAAGAATTATTGAATTGATTGAAAATTTAACAAATATCAGTTGTAAAATTCTGAACCTGTATTATTTGGGAAAAATCCTTTACAACAGAGGTCGGCAATATTTGTCGCTCGCGGGCAAAAATTAAGGTTGCAAGTCATTGGCGGGCCGCACATATTCTAAGAAAGTTGAAAAACCGGACAGATGGTACTTTTTATAATAAAAATCAAGCAGTGATACATCTCTCGAATAGAACATAGATTTATTTCCTCATTGCATCTCATAAAATTCCATTTGAATATTTTCAGCGCCATTAAACCCTTAGCACTTAGTATCAACTTTTCTGCGTTTTGTTGCCATTTGCTTAATTAAATTATATGCTCATACGAGTAATTGTGAATTATATAATTGTTAGGTTATAATATAATTTAGTCTAAAGTATACATTTATCAAAACGGATGTTTTGTTACTACAGGTTAGTGAAGCGTCGCGGGCCGGATTATAGCGCTCCGCGGGCCGTATAGGTTGCCGACCCCCGCTTTACAACAATTTAAAAACGTCTATAAATATGTTAGTGTGATTTTTTACGAGTGATTAGTCTGTTAGTGCTTTCCTGATAATTGTTTTCATAATTGCCTGAGCGTAGAATTTACCAGCATTGTTTTGATTTGTTTGTATGTGTCTTGATTCACTGTATCACCAATGCCAAATCAATGTAGTTTTCATGGTTTTTTGACCCTTCTCGCCACCTTATCACATTACACCTGCACACGTTGTCTTTGTATCATATCGAATTAGTCCTTATTAGCTTGAGTATTTCAAAAGTATACAACAGCCCGAAAGTTTATTACATTCGCGTATTTTTGTGTGTGTTTATTTTTGGCCCAAGCCCTGTTTAACAAGATTTGTGTTTTTTGTTGTGAATGCGTGTTGGTGAGCGGGCACATGATACTCATCATGTTTTAAACTTTTTTAAAGGTTTTGCCCATTTTTAATTGTACAATCATATTGCGGAGTTTTCGGAATAAACTATCTATCTAATGTTTGAAGACATCGCATCAATTTTCACCACATTATTCTAACCCAGTAGTTTCCAAAGTTGATTTACCGCGGGCCAGAATTAGAAGGCGAGGGATATTCGTGGGACGGGAGAAGGGAGCGTCCGCGAGGGGCTATAATTAAGATTCCAAACTGAATTGCTACAATTATACACGTGCTTAAACTGTGATAATGACATAACAATTGGCTGTATCTAGAACACAAGAAAGAAAAAAGTGTTGACTATTTCATTCGGCAGGCTATATTAAATAATTACGCCGGTCGTACCGTAATTGGCCCGGGGTTTGGGAACAACTGTTCTAACCCGTTTAGGTTCTATTATATTTAACGAATTTAAACGTAGATAAAGTGTTTGTTTTTATAATGAGAAACTTGATAAAGCATATAATTCTGCAGCAGTCTTTTACATTTATTCCAAGATAACTTTGCACACAAACGGTGTGTTCTGCTTTTATTTGCAATATCATTGAAATGAATAGGTCTAAAAGCCCATAATGCAGTTTCGCTTGAGATATTGTTTGAATTAAAAGTGATAGGACGCACAAAGTAAAAAAATAAAACAAAACTTCAATAAAAATTCGGTGCTCCCGACGTATGCGAACCAAGATGGCGGACATCGGAACGTAACATGGGTAACAGGTAGGGTTAGGCGATAATTTCTTTCCAATTTTAGTCCTATTATTAGTTCGAAGACTAGCCAAGAGCCTCCCGTAGTATTTATACCTAAAATTATGGCCTAACCCTAACCTATACACATATTACATTCCGATGTCCGCCATCTTGGTTCGCATACTTCGGGAGCCCCAAAAATTCTCAACTTCAATGTCTTAACTCTTAATCTCCAGAGTCATGGTGCAACATTTGCCCAAAAGAATTATTGAAATCAATTAAATCAACTCATTTGAAATGGGAATAATCATCAGAAAAAGCAACTCAAATGTAAATCAAGAGAAATTGTCATGAAAAACACCCCAAGAGTAAAATCTGCCTTTTCCTTGGAATATAGTAAAAAAATAATAAAAAAAAAATTTCAATAACTAGAAAGATGAAAAATGATGGTGTTTTTAAAATACCTAAATGTGTAAAATATAAGTCCTGAAAATGTTATCATAAATATCACAGACAACTTGATAAATAGGAAAGTTATTACTCGTTTTAAGGTGGTTAAGTAAGTTATACATTGTGTTTCTGACATGGTAAAAATTGTTGAATAAATATCTTCACTGCAAATCTTTGATATTACTTTACAATAAAAATTAGTTTTTTAAAAAGGCACGAAAGTGGATAGAAAGAGATAGGTCTTCATATTCTTTTCAGTTAAAATTCAATCATTACATTAGCTTATTTTGAATAAAAAACAAAACACTGCATCTTTGATGTAAATTTTATCGTTTAAATGTCTAGGATAGAATATCTGAATATTGATCACGGAATGTGTTCCAGGTTTTTCCTCATCATGTTTAATCTACATCTTGTTATGAATAAAAATAAATAAAAAATTTGAAAAAAGAACATCCTGCAATATAGAACTGTAAATGTGATTTTTAAATTGAAAAATGATTGCTTCGTCAACAGTTTATTCTGGATCATCATCATCCTTGTTTAGGTCACCGATTTCTGCTTCTCCCAATGTTGGAGTGGATAAATTCAAGTTCGGCAGTGGTAAAATGGCATAGCCACCATCAGACATCTCTGGAGCAGTAGGTCCACTAACTAATTGAAATGTAGCTGCTATCAGCAAAGGAAAACATGAATTCCATCCACCTTGTTTTTTGTGCACATTCTCAGGTAGTAATTCTTTGTCTATTGTTAAAATAACTTTTTCTTCTTCTTTTTCAAGAGTCAGGGGCATATTTCCAGTACTCAATCTCAGAATAGTATGTCCTTTGTCATTAACTGAGGCAACATGCATGCGAAAAATGATATTCCGTGATTGTGCAAAATTAACAGATGATGAACATCTCTGTGACTGAACATTCCTGCGTAGTGATATTGTCTTTGGAAACTAAAATTAGAATTTTAATCTTCATAAATCATATATATTTAGAAGATGTTGAATACATTCGAACATAGAAGTTGAATTTAAAAATGCAAGTGCATCAGAACGACGAGGGTTTTCATTTGTTATGATCAGTCAAGTGAAACCTATATTCTGATCGGTTTGTGCTATTAATGGGTAATGAAAAAAACATTTTTTGGGCTAAAAATAATTGAAAATACTGAAATCAAATGGGATATTTTCTGCTTATATTGTGACCAATTGCAAATATTTGGTTCCAGACACCACTCTCAATGGTCACTGCTTTCAAACTCTTGAAGAACAAAGCTAGATTCGGAATCCCACATTACAGCGTTAGAGAGATTTTGGTACTCCCGAAGTATGTGAACCAAGATGGCGGACACCAGAACGTAGTTATGTGTACCAGGTTATGGTTAATAATTTTATTCCAATATTTTACCGTAGTTCTATTACAAGTTCGGGGACTAGCCAAGTGACTCTCCTACCTGAAATTATGATCTAACCCTAACCAGGTACACATACTACGTTCCTGTGTCCACCATCTTGGTCACATACTTCGAGAGTATCGAAATTTCTTTACAAAATGTAACAAAAGCAATAATATGATCTCACCTGTGAAGAGTAGGAAACAAGTAGATCGAGACCAAAATTATATCCATTCCATCTCCAGCAATGGTCAGTGTCTCTGAGTAGTAAACGACCACATCGTAATCCATTGCACTCAAAGTCTTTTTCATCGCAAATTTTGGGGCCTGCGTCTAGACTTTGTTCTTCACGAAGCATTGACAACCATTGCTGTCTATAAAGAGGAGAAAGCCAAGACCATGGAATTATTAAGTCCTTTTCAAGTTCACGACAAGACACAAAATCCCTAATGATATGTTGCAGTCTAAGAGCTTGAAACACTTGTATATATGGCTGGCCTTGCTGAGAGTCTAAGAAAACAGTTGTTGTAGTTTTAGCCAATTCACGAAAGTAATTGTCTGCAACTGTTAATATTCCTTTAAACTCCCCAGAATATTCTGGATTCAGCTTTAGATATAGCCACTTTTTAAGAATTGTGTATATATCCATTTCAATTTGTATAACAATTAAATTTGGTGAGTTGATGACGTCAGTTAACAGATTAGGTTCGAGCTCCCTGAGTAAGTCTAGACTCTGGGATGTCATCAGGTTTGTCTCTAACCAAGCCATGCAATTTTTTGCAACTTCATTTTGTCCGTACATGCAAGCAGTTTTGTAATATAGACATACATTATCAAGACATACTGCTTCTTTCATTACTTCTGCACATTGTTGCATAAGGCCCTCAAGTTGTATGAGAGAAGCTGCTGCTAGTATTGACACTACCTTTTCGGGGCATATGAGGACCTCTTCAGAATACAGAGAACCAAAGGTAATATCTAGTGCATTTTCATCAATATTACTATCAGGTATTTGTAGGTCTATAACTGTCATTGATGATTCTTTCCATTGACTTTTATGAAACATACTTTTAAAATAACCAGCTTGTCTTAAATAAACTTTATGAAGATTCCATTTCCGATCAAGAGAAGATATTGTCACATCACTGTTTTCGCCATGAACAAATAAGGCATCATAAATGTATTGAGAAGTTGATCTTAGCCTTTTTCGTTTAGGTTGTAAATCTTTTGTAGGCGTAGGTGGTGAAAATGTAGATTCATTGATGTGACGTTTGCGTGCTAAATCATTCTCTCTGGCGGAAAGTTCTGGATGCTCTTCTTGATTTGAGTTTGATGGTCTTCCAAGGGCATTTCCCATTGTGCTATTTATTAACGGCTAGATCTTTACTGCAAAAGAATGCATAGGAAAAGCTGTTTATTTATTAGAGTCTGATTGATATATTAATTAAAAACAAAATATGGATAACAAAAAAGACAGTGAACCCACAGGGCTATTTTAGGTTTAGGCTGTTGATGGGCACTAGATGCTTTCAGTCACTTATTTCCTTCTATAACACATTGAATTGTACAGTATTCTTTACAATTTATCTCATATCATTTCGTTTATTGAAATAGCCTACGTGTTTACAAAATGTGATAGCAGTCAGTCAGTGCTTTGTAATAAACAAGCCATTATTATATTAGTATATAAATAAAAACAAACTTGCTACAGACAGTACAGTAGTAAGAACGTAACGTACACTGGTTACAGGCCGGCACCCACATAGTAGTAAACTTTCTAACTGAAAACTGGCCCAAATAACTAATACGGGTACCGGTGGCGGTATGGAGGTGGAGGACCGGACTTGTGAGATATTTTGCTCATGCTCTCTAAAAGAAATTCGAGTTGTTTTATGTCAGATTGTTGACATTATTATAATTTATATACAACTGTGTGTATTCGTCGTTTTTTCATAGTTTGAACATGTTGAAATATCATGTGAATAACATACAAATCCAATGATTGATTTATTCAAACATTACCGGTATAACCGTAGTAGTATATATTTACGGTATAACATGACATTAACCTGAATTTACATTCTTAAAATTAAATGCGGATGTGAGTTTCTCCGACTATCGACCCCAGAAAAAATCTCCATATGACGTACTTTACTATTGCAAACTTTTTTTACAATGACCTGATGATTGGTCATTGCTACGGAAATAAATATTAAAATCAATGCTCAGAGAAACGTCCAATGAATCACTGTTTGGTTTTAGCTTATTTTACTTAATATCACCAGATGACCAAACTCGAAAGTCCAGTGAAAGAAGCTCTAAAGTTTCATGGAAAATATATATATATTGACCGGGGGTCGCACTGGACACTTGAAAGTTGTCTTTGGTTCGGGGTCGTCCTGGAAATAGCTTGGGAAGCCCTGAACTAGACCGACAATTGGATATGAGCTACGGTACGTATTCGAGTGGGACGCCGAATTAGCAGATAACTCGCCTACCGGCGACTGCAAATCACCAAAGTTTTTCAGTCTTTTTTTTACATTTTTCATGCAGAAGAAAACCAGGAACAAATAGGTAATGGCACTGCGCCTGGCAAGGAAACTAGGCCGAAACATAAATAAGAGATTTCATTCGATTTTAAGTTTTGTGTAGGCAAAACTTGTGTTTTTTTGTAGGTAGCCTACCTGCCGATAAATATCAACGTAATTTACAATCCTGTGCAGTGATTTCCCTACACCCCCCCTATAGGGGGTGAACACCCCCCCTAAAATTTCAAACCCCCCCCCCCCCCTAATTTTGAGGTGCGATTCCACACTGAGGGGTTTTAAACCGCAGTCTGCGGGCCTATTACGGCCTTTGAGTTTCAGATACCGTCTATTGTTACATCATTACCACAGTTTAAGCACGTTTATTTCGTAACAATTGAATTATTCCGGTATCTTATGTATACGTATGGGTATTGGGATTACACACTGCAGTATTTTAGATATCAGCCGTATATTTAAGAAAGCTTAAAGATGTCGCAAAACGAAAACTAGGCACTGAAAACAGACGTTTTTTAGATGATTGACAGCGTTTTTATTTCTTTATTGAAAAGAATCAAACTTCAGCGATTTGTCTTCTTACCAACAAAATATTTCAGTTCTGAAGGAATACAACATTTTGCGCCATTATGATCAGTTGACGAGCTTATTTCGAAATTTAATTCATACAAAAGTCAAACAAACATGTTCAAAAAAATTAGAAATGTGTAACAAAACAAGCCATAAGTAGCCATTCATACAATGCCAGATTAGCAAGTAACTTCATTAGTCACTATCAGTTGCAAATTACTTGTTGAAACGTAGTAGTATATATTTACGGTTGAAAGCCGTGCTTGTTATCTATTCCCCGGGAATTCTATCAGCTAAAGAATATAATTATTGATTTCATTACATAACAAACTGCGATGCTAGGTGTATCTAAAATCAAGCTTAGAGCCTATTTTGGTGCCTATTTCTCAAAATTTTCCCAGGGCGCTTGAGCGCGCCCTCAACCTCAGCCGTGTCGTCCCGCGCTTTTCCTCGCTCCCCTTTTCTGGCCCTACAATTTCATTCTGCTGTGGATTTTGGCTCGCGTCAATCAACTTGGGGGGGCCCTCATGTACATCGTTTCTTAAATACATACCATTTTTTTAAGAATACAAATAGCCTAGTTTTATCTCTAATAGCAAATTATTTACCACCCCCTAAATTTTGAAACACCCCCCCTAAAAAGAAAAGCTGGGGAACATACTGATCCTGTGGCCCGTGTATCCTTGAACATCTTCTAGAACGGGATTGTATATTTTCAACAACTCACTTCTTATATAAACGTTTGAGATTGTTGACTTGTTGTTATCATCTACGAGCGCTATGGTAATCTCCGTGCATCAGATAATGTTTAATATTGCTGATAGCGGAGGCACAAGCCCTGATTATAGTTCTGTTATCGCCGTGTTTACAATCTCATTCTCGCAGGCCTCAGGCCAAGTAAGCTGTTTTAGGGGCGTGTAAGCATTCATTCCATCAAAATGTTAAAGAAAAAGGAAGGCCCCCATAACTAAAAATCTGCGGAATAATTTGAAAAGGCGCGTAACCACCAAAATGCATCTATGTATTTGACGTGGACATTAGAACAAACACTCATTTGGAGGGTTGGCATCGATATATCAAAGCCCAAGTCGAAAAAATATTCAGCTTCATTGCCAAAAGATAAGTATCGGTATAGAGCCGAATGTCGTGGAGATACTAGAACTAGAAGAAAACAGTCTGGCAGCGTAAACGATAAATCATACTCCAGCTTCTTCTGGAGAGCATGGGCAAAATATTGATTTGTTCCTCTTTGGACATCAGCGTCTTCAAATTCACGCACAGCGAATTCTAAAGTTTGGGATCCAGTAAAACACAAATAAAATGCTGTGTATTTTAATACTTTTCACAACTTATTGTTAATAGTGGATGTTAGTTGCCTGAAACAAGTCCGTTGCCCCAATTCATTTCCTTTATGACACTTCTGTGCAACGTTTTATGCGAAAAAGTTGAGACATATATATACCCCCCCCCCTCGCTCAAGTGTTTTTTGTCATTGTTTTATCGTTCTTTGTTAGTTAGAAATTTTGTTTCATCACATGTACTTGCGTTTAGGTTTTATGTTTATTTCGTTATCTGTTATTTGGATGAATTCGATTGCGCAACTTTACAATATACGAATATTTGGTATCACAACCTATTGTGTGCTTATTGACCTCTGAGGAGTTGTTTGGGTTACTCCGCTGAAGTACGTTCAATATATGGGGTAACAGATAGGGACCCACCTTCCTCTATACTGCCTCACAGATTTACTCATGAAAGGTAAGAACAAGTCGGAATTACTTTTTCCGTTGGGATTTCGTTCCCTTCTTCCGTCCGTATTTTTGGCAAGTATGTTGTCAAAGCAGTTTGGTAACGCATTATTATAAAAGTCATAAATAATGACGATACTTAAAATTTCACTCTATTCTCAATTCTTTATTATATTCAGCGATATGAAGTGATGATCTACAGTTACACCAGGGTGAACCTCCAGAATAAACCCAAAATGTCAAAAACATAATTAAACGAATGTTTTTACGACAAAAGTATGCAATTCTAAAGCAGACAATTCATTTCAATGAGAAATTTGCTGATATTTCATACGTATTGAGCGCCGTTCTGTGAAGTTTCTGCAAAGCGAGGTGGACTGTTGACTTCCACACGATTTATATATATGTTAGGTCTGAATGAGAGATAACGATGAGAAGCTTTTCTCGTAAAAGGAGGTTCTACAAAAAATCAGTAGTAATTCAATGGCGTTGTCATTGAGCTTAGAATATTCCTTTTCAAGCGATATCCAAAACTGTGACAATGATAAGTCTTTATGCTTCGACACCAACGTGGTACCGCAGGGACGTGTAATCATCGATTCTTTCTCAACAGCATTAAGATTGTACGAATTGATGTCCATTGCAAAGGATTAACAATCCAGAGATTCCCCTGACGAGAATCTGCAGTTTTTGTTACTTGATGGACGTAACTCCAGCACATCGATTCATCAATATTAACCGGCATCATCATCCTCCCATAGCACTATATGCGCGGGGAAAGCAACTCTGTTGGTATTGTGAAAATTAGTTTTGGTGAACTTCTCAAAAATTCCATTTATTCCATAAATAAAAAAGATGAAGTTCAATTAAGGAAGCAGATACACAAAGACGAGTGAGGCATTCGAAACGGTTATTAGTATATATATATCTCGCTTTGTACAACTGACTGGATAAATCCAAGAGCAATGTTCATATTGAATAAATGAATAATGGAGGATTATGTCCAGTAGTGGGATTCAGCCGGTTCGCACCGGTTCTATAGAACCGTCTCACGGAATTTTTTGAGATCAGCGAACCGGTTAGCATTACTGAAATAAAACACGATTCTTTGTGACAGAATCGGCTGAAAATATGACATTCGTGTGATGAAACCGTCTGACAAAAAATTTGAATTCCACCACTGATTATGTCCGTATAAACATGTGTATATATCTTAGTTATGATTGATTAAAAATGTACAATGGGTTGGGTGTACCAGATTTGCAGAGGATAAAAGGGTGTATCATTTCGAAAAAAAGGTTGGCGAGCAATGATCTATTCTAGACTAGGCCTATCTTAACCGGATCCCATATATTGGGAAGCAGAAATTCTATCCATATTTATAAGGCCCACTACATCAATGGAAATATAAAACAGCATTTGTAATATATAAATATATATATATATATATTTTTTATTATCCGTTATGCTAATTATGTAGATAAATGAAATGCATAGATATTCATCAAATCGCAATATTATTGGTTTATCATGCACGCCTAATGCAGTGTGGTATAATCATAGTCAATTGTAGTAATCTAAAACCAAACCTAAAATATTAAAACCCTCAAATAGACTACGTTTTGTATGACGGAATGAAACGAGGATAACGACTTGATGGTATATAGATTTTCAACAACTGAGCACTCGTGCAGGGTTACTTAGATTTCACTTGGCTTATCAGTCATAATTTTGAACGATTCGACTTCAGATGTACTATCACGTTTTATTTATAGTTATTGACGGGACATCGATAATTTCCGCACGTGTAGCTTATACATCATAAAAAATTGATCCGTATATGAGTCGATATCGAATCACGAATCATCGAATCGATTTTGATTAATTGGATCAGAGTCTGTTTATGTCATTTTTTGGCCGCATATCAACGGAGTATTTACGTGGTGCGATAATTGAAAAAAAGGTTATGTTTTTATTTCGACTTCTCCGAAAATATTAGTTCCTTAGGTACATTTTGTTTAAAGAGAAGGTTTGTGAATATATCGTAACTGAAAATTTAGACTAATCAGGTTGTACTTCATAGTTGCATAATATCGGTGAAATAAATGCCATGATTTGATTTTTAAAAACTTTCAAATCGGATATGATATATATATATATTGCGGATATGATATCATTGGGTAAATACTAATATGCAATATCTACACAGCCTGCATTAAAGAATAACCAGTTGGTTATAAGTAGGTTAAAAACAGACTGCAGAGATGGCGAATACGGAGAGAGCCAATGAGATTGGATTACAATTCTCTAAGTTTTACTATGAGAATTTTCAAAACAAATCTGTCATCGCTACTTTATACGTAAGTGAACAACTATATTTCTAATAAGCAGAATGTGGAAGGTGGCACTTAGAATGATACCGTATACAGTTACAGTCAGGAATTTCATCACTTTGTGTGCAGCTTCAAAAAACATGTACAAGTACGTTACAAGCTATACGGTTTTTGATTACGTTTACACCAGGTGATCTGACACTCGTTGGAATGAAGTTTCTGAAATATTTTCCATCGCATTGTGGAACCTTCCAGCTCATGATTTTTACTCAAGATTATTATTATTTAATGGTTTCAAAAAACTTATGCTTCTTTACAAACAAATTCTACTAATTTTTACTAGCCACGCCAAGTTGTAGGCCTACTATAGTTATGATATATATTGAAATATTTTAATACCATTCAAATTTATATATATATATATACAATTAAGAGGTAGAAGGCGGGTTGACGTAAATTCGGTTAACGTGTGAATATGTATATATAATTATTTTGCATGGCAATGCTGGTTCACCAAGTCTCTTTGTTATATGCTGTTATTATATATTTTTATTTTAAGCAAAGAGAGTTTGGAAAGTAAGAATATGCTTACACTAATTTGTGTTTTTATTACAGGTTGATTCCAGCTGTTTAACGTTTGAAGGCCAAACATTCGTGTCGAGGGAGAAAATAATGCAGAAACTTAAAGTGAGTTTTGTTATTGCGGATCAACTTTGAACGAATTTACTAATTATTTCAGCTTAGTCGGAATCTATTTTAATTACATCCGGAATCGTGGAACATTTTCATTATAGAAAGTATGCGAAATCACGACCTAAAGTAGTACGGACCATGGGTAATGCTTTAAATTAAACATTGGTAATATGTATTTACAGGAACTTCCGTTTAAAACTGTTACTCATGTTGTCAGCACATGCGATTCCCAATACATATTCGGAGCTGATGGAGAAGCAGTGTTAGTTACGGTGAATGGGCAAATGAAGGTAACAGTTTTGGTTCTTCCTAATATTGCATGAATAAGTTTTTATCGTTATTAAATAATTGACATAGAAATTGTTTCAAGCAATAATATGTCGGGACCATCAGCTGTCCGGAATAACACTAGTGAATTCGTTAGGGATTCACGAGGTGAGTTAGTGGCGAACGCTATACGCTAGCACCTACGAGTTACGGGTTATACCTGGGCACAACAAAAATCCAGCAGTCCTTTCTCACATAATTAATTTCAGCAGGGTTCGAGTCTGCAAAAATATATTTGTTCATGGATTGACCAAAATATGATTCTCTAACATGTTCTAATTTTAGACTGATGATGACGCTCCACATGGTTTCAATCAAACATTTGTCCTCAGTGCAGTTGGAAGTTCATACGCAATATCAAATGAAATATTTCGACTTAGTTTACATCAAGCGTAACTACGCGAAAAATCATTGCAAAAAGATATATCCACCAGTATTATTTGCCCACTTAATTAAACTTATACATATATCTAAATGTCGATTCTATTTCCGCCAGGGTACTTATTACCGCGTTGAGGCTAAAGACGATTTTGCATTTGCATGTGGTTGGGCGGTAGATGATCTGAGGGATAGCTGTTCCGTTGAGTCCCAATACTGTACTAGAGAACAATGTAGACTAGATCAGGGTCGTCCAGCCTTTTTGGCAGGAAGGGCCACATGTAATTTACCAATAAGTGCACGGGCCATGACTTAACATTGTAGTTATGTTTTAGTTTTGCTACACTGACTACAGGTTAATGACCAAACTTTCACAATTATTAGAAAAATAAAACTGTTGTTTCCCAACCATTGATGGGGCGCCGTCAGTGTTTATTCCCAAAAGTTTCGCGAAAAACCCAACAAATCAATACCCATAGTGAGCTCTTCGGTAATTTCAAAATCATCATTAACTCCACGCATGAAGAGCATTAGACTTAATGCCAGTATTTTCGTCAAGCACCAAGGAATACGATGAAAACTTTCCCGATTTTGCAATTAAAGTTTCTGCTATAGAATTCCCAAGCTCTTCAACACGACGATAATTAATCGTCTGTCTTGGCAGGCTTATATTTGCAAACGCCTCTTTTATTTCCGGACATCAATACTCAATTTTTTTTTATTCAATTCCGAAAAATATGGCCACATATGGCCCGCGGGCCACGGGTTGGAAGACCCTGGACTAGATGCTAACAAAATTTGGCACGATGTCCGGTTATCTGGCGGTACCGGTGCACCACGCACTACCGGTACAATATGCAACAATACAGTTCTAATGTTTAGCAGTGAAGATACATAAGTTAGTCTGTATGCAATTTATAGTATTAAAAAGACTGTTAAAGCAACATTTGCACACAGCAAGCCCTTCAAAGCAGGTACGAATAGCAACCATGCAAACTCTGAAACGGCGCGCCAGGGCGGGCATCCTCTGAAAGATCAGTAAAAACGTAGCTGGCAGGATCGGTCAAAAGTCATGAAAGTTGGTAATTTCCGACTGATTGTGGTATTTAAGCGGTACCCAGTTTTGGTTTTCACATACAAAGCGTTAAAATGCGATTTTTCGTTGAGAATTTTGTAATACCTTAAAAAGTCTCCTTGACCCACGAAATAATGCAAAAACATACCTACATTTGAATTGAAAGTGAATATTAATAATAAAATCAGCCTGGAATCAATTTACAAATAGATGAACTATTGCAAAATACAGTTACTGAAAACAATGCTGTTGGATCTTTTGCCTAAGTGACACTAACTGCTGAATTCAAAATGTTCTTTCTAACTGTTACTATTTATGGGCTATTCCAAGTGACACTACGGGACAATTCCAGAAATTTTGCATGTTGTTAGATTCAATATATTTTCACATTTTCAGCTACATGTTTTGTTTCATTGTCCAATCAGTTGCTTTATTGAATATGTAAAAAATTGCATAAAAGTTACACCCAACCTTACTTAGTAGATAAAAAAAAATATAGTAAAATATAGCGTGACACTACAGGACGGCAAATCCACCATGCACTAACAGTACGTTGTGTTGTGCTGTAAATTTTTGCGATGGTACAGTAGGAGCCCATAATATTTTCTGGTGCAGTAGCTGAACCACCCCTCTATGTGTTGCTCAAGTTACTTAATGTAACACTGTAAATCCATGCCAATAATGTGCATATTGTATGTGACACTACAAGACGTGACACTACAGGACATTTTTCCACTTCGGAATAGCGGCATCTGCGCCTATTTAAACTATGGTTATATATAAACTACTTATTACTGAGTGTTCGCAATCAGGCTATCTCTAGCCGCTTACACGTATCAGCATTTCAGACCTCTGTCTACCCGGTTAATCAGGGAATACCCTACGAGTTATCCGGTAGGACGGGATTTTCAAACCTGTACATTTTATTCTTAAAACTTAACTTCCGAGCTTCCAAATTAAATTAGATGGAGAATCTTGGGTGTCGCTGCTCGATAACCAAATTTGGTTCCCCGCGGCTTCCCTTCCCCAGTAAAAATGTGTGTTAAATTTTGTTTATTTTTTGATTTTGTATGTTATTTTTTTGCTGGTTGGAAAAAATAAAATTGACTATGACTACTATATCACCTCTTAAAAATTCTGGTAATAAATCATTAAATGGGTGAAGAAATGTTCTACAATCTACAGCACTGCAAACATTTAAACTTTATTAACTTAAATCCAGTGCGTCAATTCCATATGAAATAACTGTACCACACAATCAAATACTTTGTGTCAGGAATCAACACAAAATATGTCAATTATACCAAAATTTCTACATTTCAGGCCATTAGCATAGCATACACTAAAGTCTAAACAATCCCGCGCTTCATTCGTTCGTTCCAGGTGCGGGAGACTTGATCAAGTTTAGTTGAGTTGTTGCCAGTGACAGGCAGTATAGTAATACTCATTTCATCACCATATTATGTAAATTAGGTTGAAGATAAAACACCCATCAACAAAAAGTAGCAAAACATCACTGAAAACGGGTAAAAAAGGGAGTCACAGTAAACTGCAAAAATTATCGGAGCTTTGATATGACGGTCTGATGTATTGTTGTCCTACTAGACTTGAATAGCAAAAATAAACACATGATTTTTCTTATCATCTATTCATAGCCGTTAGGGAGATTATTTTCCAATTGTTAGACTAAATATTGTGAACGATTCGTGAATGCAATGCGTGATGGAACATTTACGCAAATACAAAAGCCCTGCATTTTGGACTGAAAATCACATGTGACGCCATGGTAACATGACTAGTACCATTAGCAACTTAAAGCAGAGTAGCTTATACGAATGGTCGATGGTGACAAAACAGATGAATTAGTCAGTTTGAATGAAATTTCGGAAACATCTCTATTATTGTACATGGAACTATATTAGTTGGGAATATGGATAAACGTATATATATATGATTCCATTTGAGTGGCCTGACATTTTTATTCTGCCATTCAGACAGTATGTTTGAACTTTCTGGCGTCGACGCGATGTGTGTACTGCTTTTTACTTACAATACAATTTTATGTTCAGACAAGTTGGTGACGAAGTGCGATCTATGTGGATCGTGTTTCTAAATACTGTAGTTGTTGCTACTCTTGCTGTTATTCGACTTTTTGCTACAAAAAAAATCTACGTAACTCATAAACCATCAATCTTCACCGCTCAAGTCACGGATGCGACGGATTGATTTTAATCTTGCCAACTCGGTGCTCAGAAACATTTCCGTGTGTGTCATATTCTACCAGTACTGTGGCTAGTTAGTAGTTACTATATCTACATTTTCATATATTTGAGCATTAATAAGTTGTAGATATAATACCAGAAAACAGACAAAAATGCAAGATAAAAATACGTTCAATAATAACAATGTATTCTTGGCTTGTGGAACTCAAAGATGTACAAATCCTGAAAAATCGTTACACAATTTAGTAATTTAGATAGCAAAACTGGATGTTATAACAAGCTGTAATTTAGTTTTATCTGATTATCATGTAGACTGCATTTGTCCAATGATATCCTTCCCCGTCTTGGGCGCAGGCAGTTGATGACCCATATTTGCCATATACTTTGTGAGCATTGGCTGATGTTGCACACCTAAAAATAAACTAAACTGAAATGTCAAGAAACAGGAACAGGAAAATTTCTTTTGTGAGATGCTGAATAAAATATTATGATCGTAATGAACGTGTTAGGTGACTCCCTCCCCCCTCAAAAAAAAAAAACAGAACCCAGGTTGTTTGATACACAAACAGAAGTTCAATTGCTTTCTTCATGTTTATAGAAGTAACAAAGAATTTATTTTTTTGGAAGGGGGGGAACAATGAAAAATTTATTTATATTTCAATAATGATAAAATTTGTTCACAAAAATCTTTCACATAAGTTCATCATTATTAGTTATAAAATGGAAAGACTATTTGGACATTATTTAATAAATGCCACAAAATTGATCCTTTGTCATAAGATTAAATTGAAATAGATAGATTGTGCCTAAATGAAATCGATTCAAAAACAGAACAATTTTGAGAGTATGAAATTAGGTAATTCCTCCCTTCGCATATTTTAAAACTCCTTCCTCCATCAATTAGTATGAAAACTACTTTAATTTTCCAATCTTCAATAGATCTTAGCTAGTATTATGTGCAAGTCGCATTTACGCTTTTGTACAGTTTAAGCGTGCCTAAATGTTAAAGTGAAAATGAAAAAGCTATTTAGTATTAGTAATACTAAACTAATATAGTAATACAGCTATTTTCAAAATTACATTATTCAGATGAAAGAAATAATTTCTTCATTTGCACTTCTTTTACCCGCTCAAAAATGCCCAAAGTACAATTTATGTTTTAATTGGCTTTACGACACAGCATACTTATTACATACATACATATTTGGGAGGTGAAATTGGCAAAACTCGTGCATCTTACAATTTCATATATAATAATAATCGACTCTGAATGTTATTGAGTTTGTCTATGTATTTTGAATAAATTCTACATTACCATCCACCAGCTTGAAGCACGAATACTTTATATCCCAGGCACCAAGCAACCTTTGCACATTTTTCTATCGCATTGGTTCTGGCTTCATAATTTCCCGTAACAGTCGGAAATCTCCCTTCAGCTGTCGTCACAATACGATTACCCCGCCACGGAGTTTCTTCTTTGTAGCAGCCGATATACATGTAATCCGCAGCTAAACAAAATGTTGATAGAAAATAAATAGATAGAAAAAACTTCTAAAATAGCGTATTTGTATATATTATATATATATATATCTACGATCAATTTTAGATCACGCGATATACTGTGCGTATATGCTGTATTGAACCAAATTAGTACGTAAACTTGAGTTTAAAGTACACAAAAGTTAATCTAATGAAAAAAATCTGGCGCTCCGAAAGTATTCGTAACAAGATGATGCACAACCTGAACAACCTTTAACCAGGCACACATACTATGTTCAGGTTGTGCGTCATCTTGGTACGAATACTTCGGGATCACTGAAAATCTTTATTGAAACTCTCGATATAATTTATTGATTTCCAACCTTTTTGGTGAGAGAACCCCAACGAAACATTCCGGATGCTCGAGGTGCCCCGATACATTAGTTCAATTTTCGAATTATTTGAACTATAAATATATATAGAGCAAACCCAACACTGGCATAACAAAGTTAAAGTGTAGAAAGTGTAATAACAGTGGCAAAACTAATAGGAATTTTATTATATTCAAACAATATACAAATGATTGTCGACTATCGGGTTTAAATAGAAACTTGCGGAACCCCGGGACTATACCGGCGAAACCCTAAGTTGGCGCGTAATCCCGGTTGTAAAACACCAATCTAACCATTGAAAAGTTCACAAATCCTATCGGAATTGGTGCAAAAATACTCACGTTCAGTGTCCCATTTGTTGGTACACTCTGCTGTCGGGGATGCTTCCATTTGTGCTAAAAATAAACTGTATTAGTAAATAGAAAAAATCAACTCATGAATGATATGAGGATATATTTATATGTAGGGCAATTTAGTGATAGCCGATGCATTACTACTATTTGCATACGATTGATATCAATTTAGAAAGCTTACTTCAATGTCTTGCTTGGCATCTTCATGCTATTACCAAGTTTACACTGAATTGCTAATACATTATTACTATTTTAACAGTCATACATTTTTAAATGAGGAATTTACCTGATTCTTCAAGTTTTTCCAATCTAGCACTGAGAGTATGTATTTCTGAAATAAAGAAAAGATTTGGATTAAATATATCCTATGTTTTATTATAAATTACCAGATTATGTGAAAGAAAGATAGACCATAAAATCATGAACATTATCCATATCTTATCATTTCTAAAATATCAACAATACATTATTTTTGTTTAACTCCTCGATGAACGAAACACATCCAAGCACTAAAACATTGTATACGGTTTAATGAAATAATGAAAACAACATCATTCAGAGAATTCATTCGAAGCTTATATGTATGATATTTCACTCACGCTCATTGACTTTTCTTGATATTGTTTCATCAACCCTGGAATAATCTACTACACCACTTTCTCCTTTATTTCCACGCTGTCCAGCGGCGCCCATGTCTCCTTTGGGTTCTCTCTTCCCGGGTACACCATGATTTCTTACTGAAATCGGCAATGGTGTATCGTGGCATATGCTTTGAAACACATTATTCAACCTTTGGCACGTCTGCTGGCGTGATATAGTGTCCTGACAAACACCAAAATTCGCCAGAAGCAACAAGCCACTGATGAGTGTAACAAATTTTGATTGCGTGAATTTTTGCTAATCTATATATATATATATAATAGAAATATTGATTATTACCTTGGGGACTTATGGCACTCGAAATTATTTTCTAGCGAAAACAATAATCCCAACAACAGCAAGAATTCAGCGAGGGGAAAAATAGTTGTTTCTCAATCACTCATAATTGTTCTACTGTAGCATGGGTAAGCAAAAAAGTCTTCTCTACATATTATTGTATTTAAAAAACTGTTTCTACTCCAGTTTTAGTCCCATCTGTGGGTCATATGGACGCCGTGACTACAGAGAATAATTTTATCAATGTTGGAATCTATGTAGCGTTGGCGCGCTTCATAAAACATCGCGCAACAAGTGATGGAATTATCGTAAGCTGTGGATTGTTACTTACGGTTCCAAATGAATGGTGGCGCAAACAGGGCGCGGCAAGCTGAGCGTCGTGCGGTTTAATAGTTCATAACTATACTATACAAGTGAATGATGCATTTAGATGTACTTGGCAGCGTTTTTGTGCAACCATGGAAAAACTGATGTACAAAACCCAGACTACCCATATTAGGTAGTATTTCCCCTTACTTGATAGATAATAGAGAGCTGGGTGAGAAGTCATGCTTCAAAATTTTCAACATGAAAAGTAAAAAAAAATAGAAAGTAACCCTCGTTGAACGAATGTTAAGTACACAAATGAAAACTAGCATTGACTACCGCAGAGAATAAAATAACGCTCATGACCGTGAACAAAATCGATGTAATAATGGCGTGTTTCAAAAACTATCTTTCAATGGGCGGGTCACATGTTATATCTTTATCACGGGATAAACGACTGTTGCTCATAGATTAATTAATCAATGTCTGCGTCAATCTGAAAGTTGCTGTTGCATCTTTTCGTCGCCAAACTTTGGCAAGCGGTATTATGTGTTTGTGATGTAACAGTGACGTCATTTTTGAATAACATAATCAAGTGAGAATCAGGAATGACACATGCAAAAATGTCCCTGTCGAGAATAACAACAGTAAATTCACCATATCGTTAGAGATTTGCGAGGTTGCTTGGTGGAGAACGCTATGACCTAGCACCTACGAGTTACGTTAACCACCACGTGAAGACAACAAAAGTCCAGCAGTCGTTTGTCACATAATTATTTTCCACGGGGTCCGAGTCTGCGGAAATATAATTGTTCATGGATTGACCAAAATATGATTCTCTAACATGTTCTAATTTTAGACTGATGATGACGCTCCACATGGTTTCAATCAAACATTTGTCCTCCGTGCAGCTGGAAGTTTATACGCAATATCAACTGAAATATTTCGACTTAGTCTTCAACACCAATCTCAATTACGAGAAAAATCATTGCAAAAAGATATATCCACCAGTCTTATTTACCCACTTGATTAAACTTATACATATATCCAAATGTCGGATCATTTTGTTTAAATATGAATAAAGACAGTATCTTATGTGATGCCTATTTTTTAATTCATTCCTATTAATCGAGACAGAGCATGTCGCAACTTCATCACTTGAATGTTATTATTACTGTGAAATATATTCCGAACTTCTGATGACTAAATGTCACAATATTCCAGTGAACAATCCCCTCAAGGCCAAATAGTTATCAATATGGATGGGAACGAAACATTAGAGCCGTGTCTTATTCACGACTGATAGTGATATTTGAGCGGTACCCAGTTTTGGTTTTCAAATGCAAATAGTTAAACGATGTTTCGTTGAGAATTTTGTAATACCTAAAAATTCTTCATGGCCTACGAAATTAATGCAAAAAACATACCAACATTTGAATTAAACGTAAATATTAATGATAAAATTGGCCTCAAATCAATCAAACAATAAATAAACTGTTGCAGTATACAGTTACTGGAAACAATGCTGCTGAAGCTTCTGCCTAAGTGATATACAACTGCTGATTTTAAAATTTCAGCTGTTTCTTCTAACTAATACTCTTTATACGTTTACAGCCATGACTGTTGAAAGGAAATGGTAGGTTTGTTGTCAGTAGGGTTACCAACCGTCCGTTATTTCAAAATACAATCTTTTAATTGAGCTCTTTTCTTCTTGTTCTTTAATGAAATTATAAACTATATAAAGGATGCTAGTTGTCCTTTATTTCTAGAATCGCCTTTATTCTGAGAGTTGCAAAACATTCAAAAGTGAATTAAATATAAAATAATTACTATATTGTATGCACTAATGACTAAACAATCGTGTGCCTCAGTAGTTCGTTCCAGGTGCGGGAGACTTATACGTTAATCAAGTTTAGTTGAGTTGTTGCCAGTGACGAGCAGCATAGTAATATTCATTTCATCACCATATTATGTAAATTAGATAAAACAGCCATTTACAAAAAGAAGCAAAACATCATTGAGGACGCGTAAAAGGGAGTCGCCACAGAAAACTGCAAAGGTTATCGAAGCTTTGATATGGCGGTTTGGTGTATTGTTGTCTTACTAGACCTGATAAAGAATAACTTTAATAGCAGAATTGAACACATGATTGTTCTTCATCTATTCATATATGATTAGAGAGATGATTTTTCAATTGTTCGACTAAATATTGTGAGCGATTCGTGCTCAATGCGCGATGGAACATTTACGCAAATACAAAATCCCTGTAATTTAATTGCATTTTTGACTGAAAATCACATGTGACGAGATTATAACACGAGAATATCGGTCGGAGACCGAAGACTTATCGATCGGAGATTAGGGGATCCCCCAAAACAGCGCTCTTACTTCATAGTGACACCGTGTGTCCCATCACTGATTAATTAATAACTCGCTAAATATACGACATAATTCATCGAAAATCAATAGGCTTCTGTTCCGAACTATAATGAATGCACATGCCAAATTTGGAGCAGATTCAACCTCGCTTTCGTGAGATATCGCGTGTATCTAACAGACAAACAAACAAACAAGCAGACAAATACCTCGATGCTCAGCAACATTTCCGTGTGTGTCATATGCTACCGCTAATGTGGCTAGTTACTATATCTACGTTTCCATATATTCGAGCATTAATAAGTTGTAAATATGATACCAGAAAACAGAACGAAAATGCAAGATAAAAATACGTTCAACAATAACAATGTATTCTTGGCTTGTAGAACTCAAAGATGTACAAATCCTGAAAAATCGTTACACAAATTGGCAACATAAAATAGCAAAACTGGATGTTATAAGCTGTAATTTCGTTTTATCTGATTATCATGTAGACTGCATTTGTCCAACCAGCTCCTTCCCCGTCTTGGGCGCAGATAGTTGATGACCCATATTTGCCATATACTTTGTGAGCATTGGCTGATGTTGCACACCTAAAAATGAGTTAAACTGGTTAGCCGGAAAATTTCAGATGTGAGATGATGAGTAAAATAGTATGATTATGTTGAATGTACATGGTGACCCTCAAAAAATAGAATCCAGGCCATTTTGGAACATATTCTAGAGATAACATATATATAACTTTTGCGCAAGGCGTCTTTGATTACTTAAATTTTCTTCGATAATCGAATCGAATCCAAATAAAACTGATTAAGCAATGAAATAATTTTGAGAGTATAAGGTTGAGTCCCTTATAATGATGTTAATTTAAATATATTTCAGTTTATATATAAGATAGGCTACCAGTAATCGGGCTCGAGTAAATGTCTATTAACAGAAAGATTTAGGTAAAAATATATTGTTGTATTATACTAGATAACCGGTTCTTAACCAGTGGGCCATGGCCCACTTCTAGGTCACAGAAATAGTTTCAGATGGACTACAAACCTAATAAAAATTGCCAGAGTCATTGATTAATTAGTTAAACCTTGAATGTTGTAGCGATGAATGATGCTGCTGCTTTTTGGCTCTGGGTGGTAATTTTTATTTAAATTAATAATATGGAAGTGTATATCTTTACGCAAACAACTATTTGTTTTTATTTTAGTTTTTCCCTTGCCACGGAGTTTATTGTGCAATAAAAACAGGCCACGAAAGAAAAAAGGTCGAGAACCACTTTCTGGTCCCCGTCTCCACTAGACCTTAGGGGTTCACGGGAAGATTTCAATGGGTACTTGGATGGCAGTTTTCACGTGTTGCTAATATTTAATATCTTTTACTACCAGAAGAAAATGCGTGATTGAAACTCAGCGTAGATTTTCCCTGATCTTGCAACAATGGGAAATCCACGGCTTTGAAGCCAAACTGTGAAATCTCAAAAGACGATGTGCAAGTATTGCAGAAAGTGATACGCTGATTGAAATTTAAGTGAGGGATTTTAAGAATTCTTTAAGTAGGCGGAGGACAAGGGCAATAACATCAACACGAAGATTTAATTTAGTTACAGCAGATATGGTAGCATAAAAATGCTCCTCGAATTGAGAAACTTATTCGCAATAAACAGGGACAGCCTTCAAACTAATGTTTTGTATAAATGAAATAAATACTTCAGTTAATATCCCTTACAATTTAAAGCCTTCAAACTAATGTTTTGTATAAATGAAATAAATACTTCAGTTAATATCCCTTACAATTTAAAAATTGTTAGTCAATAGTCTATATTACAACTTCGTTTGGTGTCTGAATACTGGGGGTTCGGGTTGATTGTTTTATGACTCAGGGGTACTTGACAGCAAAAAGGTTGAGAACTTCATGTCTAGACTCTAGACTAGAGTCTAGCTGCTGCTTATTGTTATTGATAGTGTACTTATCGAATCTCATCATGTTCTGCGCGTATGATTAAAGGGTACATTTCGTGTGTCAGAGAGTCACTAAGAGAGTCTTTGAAAGTATATAGAATATAGTTCTGCAATATTATCAAGTTTACAATAATTGGATGAAAAAAATGTCTCTGTCCATGTTTATCACAAGGACCGGTTCAAAACGCCAAAGTAATGTGTTAATTGGTTTAATAAGACACATTGCATACAGTTTGGGAAATAAAATGGCAAAACCCCTGCTAATGAAATGTTTACAATATTTTCATGATAGTCTACTTTGATCGATTATAAGATTTTTGAAGGGCATGCGTTATTTCTATGTATTTTGAATAAATTCTACATTACCATCCACTATGTTGAAGCACGAATACTTTATATCCCAAGCACCAAGCAACCTTTGCACATTTTACTATCGCATTGGTTCTGGCTTTAAAGTTTCCCGTAACAGTCGGAAATCTCCCTTCAGCTGGCGTTACAATACGATGACCCTGCCACGGAGTTTCTTCTTTATACCAGCCGGTATACATGTAATCCGAAGCTAAACAAAATGTTGGTGGAAAATAAATAGATAAAAAAAACTTCTAAAATAGAGTATTTGTATATATTATATATATATATATATACCATCAATTTTAGATTACGCGATATACTGTGCGTATATGCTGTATTGTACCAAATTAGTACGTAAACTTGAGTTTAAAGTACACAAAAGTTAATCTAATAGAAAATCTGGCGCTCCGGAAGTATTCGTGCCAAGATGATGCACAACCTGAACAACCCCAACCAGGATATACTTCGGGATCACTGAAAATCTTACGATCATTTATTTAAAAAACTCAAAACTATATTGAAATTCTCGATATAATTTATTGATTTTCAACCTTTTTGGTGAAGAGTTACCCCAATGAAACATTCCGGATGCTCGAGGTGCCCCAGTACAATAGTTCAGTTTTCGAATTATTTAAACTATAAATATATATAGAGCAAACCCAATACTGGCATAACAAAGTTAAAGTATAGAAAGTTTGATAATAGTGGCAAAACTAATAGGAATTTTATTATATTCAAACAATATACATAGGATTGTCGACTATCGGATTTAAATAGAAACTTTCGGAACCCCGGGACTATACCGGCGAAACCCTAAGTTGCCGCGTAATCCCGGTTGAAAAACACCGATCTAACCATTGAAAAGTTCACAATTCCTATCGGAATTGATTCAAAAATTCATACGTTCAGTGTCCCATTTGTTGGTACACTCTGCTGTCGGGGATGCTTCAGTTTGTCCTAAAAATAAAAGAAATGTTTTACAATTTCGATGATATTTACAAAGTTATTCCCGCTTAATAAAAACTTATATGCTCAAACTATATTAGCAAATCGCAAGAATCAACTTCCACAGAGAGGTTCAATATGTTAATTAAGAGGTATCCAATGCAATACTACTATTTGCATACGATTGATATCAATTTGGAAAGCTTAGGTTACTTCAATTTCTTGCTTGACAATTGACATCCTTATGTTATTATCAGGTTCACACTTGCTACAATTGCTATACATTACTATTTTTCTAGTCATACATATTTAGGTGAGGAATTACCTGACGCTTCAAGTTTTTCAGTCTAGCACCGAGGGTATGTATTTCTAAAATAAAAAGAAGATTTTCATTAAATATATCCTATTTTTTTTATAAATCATCAGATTATATAAAAGAATCATAAGGTCATAAGTTCATGAACATTATTCATATTTTATCATTTCTAAAATACCTACAACAAATTATTTTCGTTTAACTCGATGAACGGGACACATCCAAGCACTAAAATATTGTATACGGTTTATTGGATTGATGAATACAAACAATATCATTCAGAGATTTCATTCGAAGCTTATATATATGTGTGATATTCACTCACGTTCATTAAATTTCCTCGACATTGTTTCATCAACCCTGGAATAATCTACTACACCGCGGTCTCCTTTATTTTCAAGCAGTCCAGTGGCTCCCTTGGTTCCTTTGGGTTTTCTCTTCCCGGGTATACCTTGATTTCTTACCGAAATTGGCAATCGTGTATCGTGGCATATGCTTTGAAACACATTATTCAACCCTTGACACGTCTGTTGGCGTGATATAGTGTCCTGACCAAACCCGAAATTTGCCAGAAGGAACAAGCCAGTGAGAGTAACTAATTTTAAATGCATGGCTGTTTGGTAATCTATATAATATTAAATGAAAAGCAAAGTACATGAAGAAGGTGGCATTTTTGAAGAAAAATGGGAGTTGCAATATTTCTGCATTTCTCAAAATTCTGAAGCACATCGTTTAATTTGTCACATTTCCATCAGTACAATGTAAGATACAATATAAGTAGACATTATCAGAATAAGCTCAGCAGTCAATATGACAAATTTGGGGATCAACTTCGAAAAGAAAATTTTTTATGTGTTTGTATATTATTATATTTATACAATAGTTACTAAAAATCAATATCAATCACAACACAAGCGGTCCTATTCCACGTAATTTCGGGAAATGTTTGGTTGGAAAAGTAATTCATTTGTTTGTTTACTGATCCATGCAAGAAATGATGAACGTAATTTTTTTTCATTACTGAAATTAATTGAGAATTCTCATGTGACCTCGTTAATTCGAGTTGGTACTGTAAAATCATCCCAGACTGATATTAGTAAGCTGGTGGCACAAAAGAGATGCCAAACGTCAGGACATATGTAATAAAATACATTGGGTTTATTCTATAGTATTTAAAAAAAATTTTAGGTCTATACATTTAGATTAAGTCATTTTCAGTGTATGTATTATTCATTAAAAATGGATAGTAGTGTACATAAAAACTTATGATTTTTTGCAATAAATACAGTAAATTGCAATAATAGTAAAATGCAAAAATTAATGTGTAAATGGCATTTGAAATTTAAGAAAATAACAAAACTTCATCCGACTGTTTATTTCATCACAAATCACAAACATCTAAAAATATGCTTCAAGTATACATTATCAAAAACTGTTTGCGGCCCCTTGCGCACAATTCTCAAAATGCAATGCGGCCCTCGAGAACCCACGAGTTTGACACCCCTGGTTTAGGGCCTTCCATAAATACAGCCTGATTCCATATCTGTTGAATACGAGTTTGGGCCTGGGCCGGAATAGTTCAATACATATAACTTAAACTGTTTTGTGAAATCTCTAGCCATTGCAAGATGGTTAATAAAGTTAAACAGTTGAGCAAAATGAAAGATCCAGCATGGTGAAAAAAATCTGAAGTTTATATAATATTCTTGTCGCACAAGTCACTTTTTCATCGATATATAGTAAATATGTGTGGGGTTCATTTAAATTCGTTTTTTTTACGTGGATGCTCATGTATTTGAATGAAATGATGTTTTCAAGAAGAACTTTATTGATGACAATCTGAGGTCTATTTTTTCTGCAGCTGATTAATAATCACTTTGATTTTCCAATATTTAAGCCAAGTTTGTTGCTGGACATCCAGAACCAATTAAGCCGTCTGGCAGAAAAGCTGGCGACCATTATGTTTTACAAATTATTATCTGATTGGTAATTACAGAATTTTCAGAAGGGTTCAATATTATTTTTCATTTTGCGAAAACGACGATGACAAGCTATAGTGAAATTAATTTGGAACACGTGGACACCGAGGGATCGGATATTAAGCGAATCATTTTAGGCGTTTTTAACAATAACGCTATACGGCTATATTTATTTTTTTTTTGTAACATTTTTATACCAAACCTTACCTAAGGGATTCGTACTTTGATCATCTTTCGGATTTTAGACTGAACACTAAAAAAGTTCGGTTTGAGACACTTGAATGCATTCAAAAAGCTCAATTATAAGGACACCAAAGGGTATTTCTCTGTATTAAAAACATATGAATAAATAAAAACTAATTTATTTTTTCTTCAATCTTTAATGGATTATTATCTAGTGCAGTGGTACGCGTACCACCGCGGAAGATGATCAAGTGGTACGCGAGCAGCTTTAATTTATTGCAACAATTAACTTTTGAGTTGGCCAAAATATGCCGACAACGCTTTATCTTCCATACTGTATGTATTCGCTGAACGGCCTTTATGAATGCTTCCCCGGGCATCAATTTTCTGGTTTATTTCCCTAACCAGCAACAATCAGTAAACATTGCCTCGTTTTTGTAGTTTTGCTTGCATCAATTTCCTTGTTTATTTCCGTAACCATCAACAATCAGTAAACATTGCCTCGTTTTTGTAGTTTTGCTTGCATCAATTTCCTTGTTTATTTCCGTAACCATCAACAATCAGTAAACATTGCCTCGTTTTTGTAGTTTTGCTTGCATCAATTTCCTTGTTTATTTCCGTAACCATCAACAATCAGTAAACATTGCTTCGTTTTTGTAGTTTTGCGTGTAATTTGTCAGTTTTCAGTTGCGTTTCAAAAAAAAAAAATTATGAATAAAATATCTTAATTGTCATTATGTCTTCAAAGGAGCATTAATTTAGTTGCTGTAATCAAAAATGAGTCTCGCAAATTCTGCGATAGACTAATCTAAACTAAGCTATCAGTGCCTGTAAGCGGCACATGGTTGATTAATTTTAATAAAAATGAAGGTTTTTAAACACGTAAACCAGCTTATAAGCGCCAACACATCAAAACACTCTCGAAATAAGTATAAATTTTTTTGCAATAGTAAAGTATAGGAAGAATTTCTCTGGTTTTTCCACTGATCTAGTGGTATGCAAAAGTCGATCTCCCGCTTTTGTAAAGTTCAAGTAGTTTATAATGTATGGATAACAGATACCGCCCCTCACCTCGTTTAAGAAAACCGATTAGTAAATGTAGCTTAAATCAATCCTATTGGAATTTTTTAAATAGAAAATGGTTTCGTAATTATCAGCAACATTATAAAACATTTCTTTTCTTTGTTTTTTAGCTTCACTCTGGACAAACAGAAGCATCTCCGACGGAAAAGTGTACCAACAAATGGAACACTGAACGTAAGCATCATTAATTCGTGCTGATTTTCAACCTTACAAAAATCTAAATTAGAGTTCACTCTGGATTCAGGTTTCAGTTGACAAATGAATATGAATCTAATTTTTCCAAATTGCTCACCCTAGAATTTCAAATTAACTCAAGGTTTGATTACTAAGAACCCTGGTTTAAATAGCCAATACTTTCCATAAACCTAACTATTATGTTTTACAAAATATATGGCAAATATGGGTCATCAACTGCCTGCGCCCAAGACGGAGTAGTAGCTGGTGCGACAAACGCAGTGTACATGATATTTTGATATAATAAAACTACAGCTTGTTGTAACACCGAATTTCGGTACTTTGAGTTAGGATTTCCGTATTTTCCCACTGGGAGGACGATGACGGCAAGATCATATGGCTGACCACGGCCGGTTACCACTCCATATTGGATATAGGAATAGTTAAGCAGTTATTCGTTCCAGATGCAGACATAATAGTTGAGGAAGTCGTAACCTTTGAGCGGTTAGGTGGACAACACAAAAAGACGCTGAGACGATTAGCCACTCACTTGTACATAATTTTCCTCACGCAGTTTGAACCCGCGCAGGATGTGATGGCAAGCGTGTTAATAACGCCCAGCTTTATGTGCGAACCGCGAAGTCGGTGTGAGTTGTGTAACGACATTGTAGGGTTTGCAGATCTCTTAGTTTCCTGCACCAAGGATATACCGATCGTATTTTTTTCCTGTATCATTAATAGCAGTGTCGGTGTCCTATATGCCACTCACACGGAAATGTAGCTGGTCACCGAATTCGCAATTAAACATCGTCACTTTGGCGTTAACGCTTGATTGAAAACGGTACTCACATGAATTAGAAAAACAGCAAAAGTTGGGTGAAATATCTCATAGAAATTTTCAAATTATAGC